GGCTTGCAGCAAAATTTTTTATCTGGCCCTCCGTCCATTTGACTTTGACACCCCTGATCTAGAGCAACCTGCCTCAATTGGCGGACCACGATCCACTACTGGACCGCCGACCTCCTCTGTCCGGACCTCCTCTGTCCTGACCCTCGGCAAATTGTATAAAATAATTATTTATAAAGTGATTTTTATGCTATACATTTTATATTTGTGGACTATAATCTGTGCATTACCGCAATCGCTTGTTAAAATTATCCGTTGTATTCTTTGCGTGCACTAACAGATGTATTGCAGAGGACCTCAGCAGCGCGACTGTGTGTTGTATAATGTTTGACTAACTGGAGACCCTGGCTGAGCAGGGCATGTCGCCGATAACGATGCGCTGATTGGCTCCTCTGAACTTAAGGTGTGCCCATACATAAGCGTCAGCACGCGTCAATCCCAATACACACGCATTCGAAATGGATGATTGTGTCAGGAAACAGACGCATGCGCGATGCCACAGTGTGCTCCTGCTCACAGCTTCAGTCCAGGAGAGCCGCACACAGATGATTAGATAAGACGAATCGCGGGAGGTTTCGATTGTGTGCAGTTTTGCTCCCGTCTACCTGGGGATCTTTGCAGCTGTTTAACAACAGAACACCGCAACATGGTCTACTGTTTAACAAAGTTAAAGTAAAAATGTCTTATTTCCCTAAAAGGGCTATTTCTATTATTAAGCAGGCACAACTTAACAAAATAAAAGAGTTCCTGTGCCTCAACACAATACCTCTCATTATTTGCTGTGTACTGGCAAAGTGAATAATTGTTATTTTCATGCACCCCATTATTGGTTGGTTGTGAGGAGTGTTGATCTGTATCAGTTTGGCTTGACCATACTAAATGGGCATATAGCCCTGCTCCCCATGACCGCCGTGCATGGGACCGGACCTTGGTCTTATTAAAAAAAAAAAAAAAAGTGGACCTACAGCATTTCTAGTTGAGGAGCACTGATCTAGAGTAAAGAGCAAAAGGTACAATCACATGGTGGAGCAAGATTAAGGAAGTGTACAGGTTAGGAATGGAGGAAGGACTCACACGATATTATAATATAATATAATATTACAATTTGTGGCTTATTTCACTGCACATTATGGAGCTGTGGGCAGCAGGGTGATGGACTGGTTGGCATGTCCGCCTCACAGTGCAGAGGTGCAGGGTTCGATTCCGGCTCTGGCCTCCCTGTGTGGAGTTTGCATGTTCTCCCCGTGCCTGCGTGGGTTTTTTCAGAGTATTCTGGTTTCCTCTCACGTTCCAAAAACATGCAAGGTAGGTTAATTATTAGCTATTGTGAGTGTGAATGGTTGTTTGTCTGTTTGTGCCCTGTGATTGGCTGGCAACCAGTTCAGGGTGTACCCCGCTTACTGCCCGAAGATAGCTGGGATAGGCTCCAGCACGCCCCGAGACCCTTGTGAGGATAAGCGGCTCAGATAATGAATGGATGGATGGATGAATGGATATGGAGCTGTGAGGATTACACTTTGAGGGATATAACCAGTGTTGCCACATTTACATTGAAAGAGTAAATGAATGCCATTTACTTTATTAGTTACATTCCGCAGACAACCTTGCTTATGTTAATACATAAATATACATAAAGGTAGAGAGAGGGAGGGAGAGAGATAAGAGAACATATTGCACCCTCCAATTCCCACTATCAGGCTGGCCTGATCAATAATCCACACAAGCAGGCTAGATGAATGGTTGAGGCCCTGTGTGGCAGTTTATTGCATTCCTGCCTTCAAATGACCCAAACGCAACTGACATCCTGTGAATGTGACACTTGGGAGGTTCTCAGTGGAGTAGGGCTTTGGGTCAATCTGTCTGCTTGGTAATTCAACCTAGTCAACAAGTGAGTCACCATACCTTTGATAGGCTTTTGAATTGGGATGCACCGATCGATCGGCTAGGATCGACACCGATTTCCACCGATTTGTGGGGAGCGGTGATTGGCCGATCTCTTAAAATAAAACCAATCTTCTCCACGACCTCTTCTCCCACTCCAGAGGCGTGAAAAAGTCAGCCACTGTCCTCTTCTGCTCTGTTATGACCAACAGGCTTTTCATTTTTATTTGTGAGAGTGAGTCTGCGTGCAGTCAAAACAACCAGTTTGTGTTGTTTCAGAGGTATTATCAATGTTTTACATTAAGACAAGATGGGGACATCAAAGGTGTATGCTGGTGTTTAGAGAAAAAAATTGGGTTTGGCAGGTCAGGATTTTTAATGATCCCGGATCCATGATCGTCCAGAAAATTGTCATTGGTGCACAAAGAATCCATATTATTCTTTGTGCAATTATGATTTGATAGCCCTCACGTATATTATTTTCCCTCCACCATTTCTGCCGTGTGTCATGAATTGCAAACAACCTGGAAAGCCTTCGGAAACAATTTAAGTCATGGAGGCAAGAATGACAGCTGCAACAGCTGTCACGTTCACATAAGTTTCACCAAGGAAAAGCTTTTTTTTTTCATGATTAATAATACATTTTGGCTCTTGATCTTATTTCTTTCAGGCATCCGATTTCCAATCTATTCCCTAAAGCAACCTCTGCTCCCATGATTGTTGGAGATTCCGTAACTTTCTCACAGTGCATGAAGGAGCGTGGCGACATGCTTTGTGGCTCCAAATGGCTCCTTACCTCATCTGAGTGAGCCAAATAGCCACACAACAAGATAGCCGCGAGCGCTTCTCACCTAGAGCCACCCTGGCCGCCGAGGCGTCGTAGTTAATCCAGAAGGATACCCAGGAGAGGATGGTAATCAGGATGGACGGCATGTACGTCTGCAGAATGAAATAGCCGATGTTCCTCTTCAGTTTAAAGCTCAGAGAAAGCCGGGGGTAGGCACCTGCGAGGAATGGAAAGAGAAAATACACTTAGATCCTCATATCAAGACCGGAAAACATCTGTGTCATTCAATGAGAGAGCGGAGACCCATTGTAATTCCATGGTTCCATAACCAAGGTTAGATGCATTGCCACTGGAACAACAACAACTCACGAGAAGCCTCACACGTACTGGCATAATTAGATGTCATACTGAAGATAGTGCTAAACATTAGCATGCAGTATTTTCAATGTGAATCTCATCTGCATAATTTATAAAAACAGTTTTATGAAGGACATATATTGCAGCTTAATGTGCATTGCCGGGAATGGTGTCCAAGCAATATGTTTGCATGCATTAAACTCCTTCCCCATGATTAAGTTCACTTCATGGCTTGTGAAGCCAGTTATCGCCTTTTCTACTTTTGACTCCATAGTCTACAAGCTTGAAATTTGTGTACACAACGATTTTCAATGCAACAGTTTGAGGCCAAAGCCACCTGGCCCAAACAACTGCTCACTTGTGAGGTGACAGCAGGGAGTCACACCATCTCATTGGGATTTTATTCAGTGTGACAATACAATTCCAGCATGTTAGAGGAAAACCTGCCATCAATTGGTTCTATGTTTTAATTTTTGGTTTTAGGCAGATGGTGGAAAATATCATTTCAGGTTCATACTGTATGTTTGAGAGCCAGTCCCTCACTGTTGTCTCCTTTATTTTTGAACCGACTTACGTTTTGATCTGTAAATTATGGCTGGTTTTAGGTCTCCCTTCCAAGTAGATTAGCTAATGCAACGGTTTCTTTTTGACTGACACATCACACATTCTAACTACAGCGGTAGAAGAAGGCTAAAATCACTCATCAAGCCATTTGCCCTGCTTGTTCGATCGCTCTACCAAAAGAACATATGATTTCAGGTGAAATTTCCTAGGTCAACTATCGTCGTGTGTTTGCTGTGTTTCTTTGTTCACCTTGTAACCTTGGTTGTCGTGGACTTTATTTAGTATAGTTTGAGCATACTTCAGTTTAATATCTTTGTTTGACTTTTTGTTATGTTTACTGCCTTGCTTTGCCTGACAGGGAGTGGTCTTGGGTCCACGTGTCTTTTGCCTGCACGCCACCATGATGAACCTCATCCTAACAGGCTACCATAAGCCATGATTAATGAATGAGTTCATCTCTCCAATTTGTCAACATATGGGGAAATATGTCTCGCTTAATTCTATTTACTGTACAAATTTTCATTACTGAAATAATAATCGAAACTAAAACTACCTCCCACATTCCAAAAACATGCAACATCCAAATTGTCCATAGGTGTGGTTGTGAATGTGAATGGTTGTTTGTCTGTGTGTGCCTTGCTATTGGCTGGCAACCCATTCAGGGTGTCCCCCACCTACTGTCTGAAGACAGCTGAGATAGGCTCCAGCACACCCGCTACCCTCATGACGATAAGCGGTTCAGAGAGTGGATGAATTGATAAACTAATATGTAGCTGATAATTACTTAATTCTCTCTGGCAGTGAAATTATGAAATATGTACCCTCATTAGATTGGCCTTTTGTATGCTTGGTTATAGTGGTGACAGAAAGCTAAAAAAGTTCACATCATCTTTGGCGCACCCAAAGACTGCCGCAGACCTAAAAATATCTGATTGTCTCCTGCTAGTGCACCTTTGATGGCGGCCTATAAACTGTTCATCTCTGCATGACGCATATAAAGAGTGTGTGTGTGTGTGTGTGTGTGTGTGTGTGTGTGTGTGTGTGTGTGTGTGTGCGTGTGTGCGTGTGTGCATGTGGGAGAGAGTGGGCGTTGAGCTGTACTGGCCGTAACTGCGACACCAAATAGTGTCTGTGAGTGGGAGGAACAAGCATCTGTGCAGGCCAGCACACAAAGTATCGAAAAGTTCAACTGAAAACGACAACGAGAGCAACAAAAGTCAAGGTGTCTTGTTAATTTTCATCTCATGAATAAGCAGTTGTTTTACAGCTCCAAGCATGAATCACACAAGGTAAGGTGTTAAGTTTTCATCACTAATAGTTAGTAATAAGGAAGAACAGAAAAAGAATTTCAACCATTTCCACACAAATGTATATGTGGCAGTATGTGGGCTTAAAGTCAAATTCTAAGCATTTAATTACAATTTTAATCAACACAGTCACAGTCTGCGGATGGGGAATTACCAAAGATCGATGTCAAGTGAAAGAAATGAATCTAGGTAAGACTTTGCAATGGACCACCGACAGGGCAACACGACTACGTTACAAAGAAAAATGTCAAACTATTTCATTTTATAGTAACAGATTAATAGGACATGAAAAAGTCATTTGCGAAAAAGAAACAGTTTGTCGGTTGTTTTGAGAAACCGTATTTCCAGAAGATGACTTTTGACCAAATAATTTAGTTCTTTCTCTTTAACATTTGTTCACAGAACAATCCATAACAATTTACTGTAATTATTTGCAGTGGCACAAATCATTACTGTTGGAAAAAAAAAAAAAACATAAAATTGATGATAAAATACAGGCAGCTGTGGTTAACCAGAATTTTAGCGTGAACAATTTTGAGAAACCGTAAAAAGCAAAACAAATTTTATGGGAGAGAACATTTTTCTCTACAGAAAATCATGTTTAAAAACAGCAAATATTTAAAGTATTTGTTCTTTAATTAATAGGGGTCTTCCAGTCGGTCACTGATCGTGATCGGCTGATTTTTAAAGTATGTATTTGATGATCCCTGACCTAAACCTTTTATGGACGAACGAGCCAATTGTTCTTAACCAATATGTACTCAAACCATTACACCAGGGAGGGCAATTCCAGTCCTAGAGGTCCACTATCGTGCATGTTTTCCATCTCTCCCTGTTTAAACACACCTGATTTAAATGATCAGATCATCAGCAAGCTCAGCGGATGCCTGATATTGAACCTGTTAACCAATTAACAAATGGTGTCATATTTTATTACAGAGAAATCTACATGCACGCTAGGTTAAGGCAGGGATCAGCAACCCAAAATGTTGAAAGAGCCATATTGGACCAAAATAAACAAAAAACAAATATGTCTGGAGCTGCAAAAAATAAAAAGCCTTTGGTGGCAAGAACAGTCTGACAACTATCTGTTTCAACTACAGCAGTCCCATGATTTGGCTCAGTAACCTCCATATCAAGCATCACCTTTCATGGTGTACTCCAAAAGCAGAACACTTCCCGATCTAAATCTAGTTCAGGAAATCATTTGGCTTGGAAAGCCCGAGGACACCAGAACATTCATTGCTGTTGGTGTGTTTATGTATCCCATTTTTGTTACAGTTTACACTTGGCCCCTTAATGTATCTCATACAGGGGCCATGTAAGGCATGAGCTACTGTAAGTGAATGCAGCATGTCGGTAGGCTGGTTGTCAGGTGGCAGTCGTAAATCAAGGTAATAAAAACTATTTCAGACACACCGTTGCATTTGCAGTGAAAATAGATGGACACAATTATCCATTTGGGTGCGTGCACACATTTACCTGTGGAAAACACAACATTTCTGGAAACCAACTTGTAATCAACAATGGAAAACTGTGGCAGCTCAATGCGCGTCACGCCCGTGACGGCTGACTCGCCCCCTTTCCAGTAGAACTCGATGTCGTCTGTGGTGTAGCCATCTGCACAAGAGGAGACACACACACGAACACCAAGGTGTAACCATCTGCCGAAGAATCACAGGGGGAGCAAAATGCAGCCTTGCTTATCGTCCAACAAGGCGGGCGCTTGGAAAAAACAAAAACATGTTTGAAGTTGACTCCAAAGAACCAGATGTTGCTTTGACAAGTCACTAGAGTTCACATACACATTATATTAATTCTTTGGCTATAAAGAGGAATGCATTCATAACTTCAATTGTTTTTCATTTTGGTTTCAGAAAGACTTGTACTTTATTTTTTCCTAAAACATGAGCTTTTGTGTCCCAGTTACAAGTGCAGTACTTCACATGCATTGATGTACTCAGCCTGTGCAGCAAAATGACAGCTCGGGCAACATGAGGTCTCTTGACTCACAGCTCTCTATCTCCAGAGTGCAGTTCTGCTCATCCAGGGGATACCTCCTGAGATCCATCATGCATGCTGCTGTCGTAGTTATCCTGCCAAAAGAAGACACGGATGGGGGAGGAGAGGACACAGGACACATTTTGGATATTGTACTGTATGTGATTTGCAAAAGCTGTATGGGAGGGGAGAAAGAGAAGAAGTATAGGGGGATGCTCAGAGAAAAATGTATTGTAACCCGTGAAGAACTTTTCACTGTAGAAGGGCATAGTGGCGTTACCGACTTAGAATAATGCAGAGGAACCACATCTAAAGTAAAACTCAACATGGTAATATGATAATACAGAAGAACCATGGCATACTGTATATAGTGCATCTTTAGAGTAGTCAGTTTTCACTTTGTCCACGTTATATTATAGCCTTATTCCTAAATTGATCAAATTTTACTCGAACACCCTGAAAATAGCCGTTTGAGAATTTTGCAGTTGTTAAAAAACAAAAGCCTTGTGGGCGGCGCGGTGATCGACTGGTTAGCACGTCCGCCTCACAGTGCAGAGGTCGTGGGTTCGATTCCGGCTCCGGCCTTCCTGTGTGGAGTTTGCATGTTCACCCCGTGCCTACGTGGGTTTTCTCCGGCTACTCCGGTTTCCTCCCACATTCCAAAAACATGCATGGCAGGCTGATTGAACACTCAAAATTGTCCCTAGGTGTGAGTGTGAGCGCGGATGGTTGTTCATTTCTGTGTGCCCTGCGACTGGCTGGCAACCGGTTCAGGGTGTCCCCCGCCTAATGCCCGAAGACGGCTGGGATAGGCTACAGCACCCCCTGCGACCCTTGTGAGGATAAAGCGGATCAGAAAATGGATAGAATGATGGATTTGTAATAAATGTGCAAAAAAAAACCAAAAACAAAAAAAACTTTTATGACATAACAATGCGGTATTATGTGTAAAATTTTAAGTAAAAAAAAAAGCATTTGTAAATTCATTTTGGAATAAGGCTGTAACATGAGAAAATGTCTGAAAATTGAAGCACTGTGAATACTTTCTGGATGCTTGACAGGTCTTTCTTGCTGTTCAATGATGCTAAATTGACAAATGTGAAACTGAAGATTGGATTAAGGCAAGAGCTTGGCGGAGTTTTTGTGTGAGCTCACGACATTTGGGTCATGATGAGGTGTTGTGTTGTTTGTCAGATGTACGAGCTCAAACGGCTGATAAGGAGAGAGTCGGAAATAAGCAGCAAAGTGAAATGCAAATTCACAATGATTTTGAGGCCAACTCTACCCCGACACAAAGCCGGCAGCTTGGCAGTTTGCCACCGCTTGTCTTTAGTCGGTTAAGACTCTCATGAAGCTTTGAAAGTCATTATGTGACAACATTACACAGCTATTATTGCAATAATAGCAGGTCCACAAATATAGACAGTATATAGTTATCAATAAACATGCAAAATTGGACTCTCTTCCATTATTATTATGAGGATTATTATTATTAGTCATTATGAAATAAGCCTCATTTTAAGATTGCATAAAGTTTGTCATGTTCTGGCCATGATGAATATATTTGTGGGTTATTCACTAATTAATAAGCAACGTGACTATATAGTAGGGCAGTACGGTGGTCAAATGGTTAGCAGGTCCACCTCACAGTGCAGAGGTGCAAGGCTTGATTCAAGCCCCAGCCTTCCTTGTGGAGTTTGCATGTTCTCCCCATGCCTGCGTGTTTTTTAAAAAATAATGGATTGATTATATTTTGTATGAATTTCTCTTAGATATAGACTTCTGCCAATGTATTACTGATAACAAAAATATTAGATTACCAACTATCAGAATCTAGAAAGCAATGCTTTGTTGCAGTCCATAATTACTATTACTCTACTGCATAATAGCTATCTAGCAAACGAAGGTCTGAAAGTAGCGAACATGCTCACAGGCTTAGTTTACCAGGAGCAAGTTAGGAACATAGATTAGGAGATATCTAAGCCGCATGTCTATGAGGTGTGCACCAAAGTGATGGAAAGGCTGAACATTGGAGAAGGAATGGATCTTGTCATGATCCCAAGCCCATCTGTGAAATTCAATGGTGGCAATGGCCTTGCTTCTTGTGGGATGTGCTCATTAACTTTCAGTATTGCAACACATGAAGGTAGCAGGAAGATGAACCCAGAAAGCTCCAGAAAGATTTTATCTGCACACATACACGTGGCTGTCGAGAGAGCAGAACTCCACTTGCAACTACGTACGGCGACAGCTACAACACCCTTGTCTGCATATATGTATATGCACTCCGTCTTTCCATTCTATTTTCTATTCATTTGAAGCATGCATTCATATTCATCGGTCGCTCAATCTTATCTGCATGACAAAAAGATTAATGGATCAAGAACAAAAATCAAGTAGCAGTTTGACAAGCTCGACATAAATGCAACTTCTAACCTGCCAATACAGTGTGCCTTTTTGCACTGCTTTCACACTTCAAATGGGATGCTAAGGTGCCCTTGTCCATGTCACATAATCCTTTGGTTGCTCAGTGGCCTGCAGCAAGTAACTGCCAAAGTGCCATATTGGCAAAGTGCAGTGCCATGATAGGGCATTAAACACAGTGAATTAACTTGACACTGGGACATAAACTATTTTTTTTTCACTCTGAGACTCATTTTGAAACAATTTGTGGATGAAGATTAGTCATTTAGCATGACCCAGTTTCATTCAAAAGGGCTGGTACATCCAAGCAACCATTCAAGTCAAGGACAGAAATTCCCAAGAAATATGACAAAGTAGCATTGCGGAGCAAGTACCTTACCTGAGACCGTAAAGAACGGTTCCATCTGGATGAAGACGGATCATGCGGTTTTTGACGGTGACGCCGTGAACAAATGACTTCTTGTCATTGAGGAAATAAGTGTCTGGTACCCAGAGCTGGTCTGCTACTCTATTATCCAAGGTCAGGTTGAGCGGTATTCCAACATAGGCAAGACGTTTGTCTCTCCAGTACTGTTGGAAATACATAGTCAGGGTGTAGTCCTGTGAAAGTACACAAAAGGAACATGGCGTTAGTTATGGGAAGGTTTCAAAGTACTGTTTGGAGCAAAAGTGTCGTAACTGATTACATTTTCAACATACTGGAAGGTAGAGGTGACTTAACCATTGACAAATTCATTTCAGGGTGCGGTGTTCTCACAATTGCCGCTTCCTCTGTATCGGGGATGGGAAACTTATACAATAGGTGGGGCCGTAATTTTTCATCAGCGCTACTGGGGGGCCAGAGTAGACCATGCGCTTAATGATCAGATGTATGACAAAATGCCATTTCAAATATGAACGAAAGACGTGCATACGTGCAAAATACAACGAATGATGGACTGGCAGAATTATGCAAATTGCCCAACTATGATAAAAACTAAAGGGTTATATAATACGATGGACATTTTTATACAATACTACATGTCAAATCGACGCTGAAAAGCAGGTATGTCCATTTTTGTATGTATATATATATATATTTTTTTAACATTAATGGGATGTCTGAAACGCAGACACCCCTTTGACATAAAAATCTTAAAAATGGCTAAAATGGAAATACGTTTTTTTCACAATGATATGGCAATATGATCACACAGCACAACATGAGCACAGGAAGGAGTCACAGGTGCCTCTCGCACACGCCGTTGCACTGGGGAGAGGAATCTCACCTTTAATTGTGAAGATCTATGACCAATATATACATTTTATTGTTGAGTTAGAAACAAGATTAGAGAGGTAGAAGGTGAAAAATGTTCATCCAGCCGAAAAATCCAAAATTAATTTGAGTCTTTTCTTCACAACTATTCATAGAACTCTTAATGGTGGAGCTTATTGATATTTATAGTTTTTAAAAACTTCAGCCGCAGGGTCTGTTTAGTACCAGGGCTCGGTACCCATCCCGAATGATGTTACAACTTAACATTATAGAGTGGAAAACCACTATTCATGGGGCTAGGGAATGCACTCAAACTCCACACAGGAAGGCCGGGCCAGGATTCGAACCGACAACCACTGCATTATGAGGCGGATGTGCTCACCAACCGATCACTGTGCCGCCTGATTTGATTTATTAAGGGCACAAAACTATTCAAAGCGACCCGACCTTATGTGAAAAAGCACGTGCCCCTCTTGTAAACATGGGTTTACTGGGGCGAATCACATTTTTCAGCTGCTTTTGGAAGTAATACATTTCGTGACAAAATTGCGATCTGTGTAGAGTAACAATTACTTGTGACTTTTTAGTTCTCAGTTAAATGTAAGTACTCCTATAGAAGAGGGTGGGGGATAGTGCACAAAAGTCTAATAAGATCTATATTGCATCTGCAAACAGTGGTTACAACAAATAGCTGAATTACAATAATGTAATGATGTAAAAATTATTAAACAACCCAAATCTTTACACGACACGACACAAACTTTTCTTCTTTGCCTCATTTGTTTAACTCCTGTTTTACAGTGTGCCACACAGACTGAAGCAAAAAGTATGTGGAATTAAACATGTTAATAGCTTATACTCTTTCGATAAGAAAAATCAAGGTGCACTTAAACAGTGAGGTCTAACGGTAACTAGACAGAGTATGTTTTCTAATTAAGTATTTTGGAACCTGAGCATATATCCTGACCTGAAATAGCAATAATATAGCATGACAATTGTATAAATAATGACTTACATTGAACATTTCAAACTGTTTTTTTTTAACTCCCACAGACACAGAGAGAGTGGACCAACAACATAGCTGACACAAAGTCAAAATAGTGACTGGACACATGCAGCTAGGGACAAAATGGAGTTTTCAATTAACCGACCATGAATGTTTTTGGAATGTGGGAGGAAACCGGACTACCCGGAGAAAACCCACGCAGGCACAGGAAGAACATGCGAACTCCACACAGGAAGGCCAGAGCTTGGAATCAAACACTGGACCTCGGCACTGTGAGGCCAACGCGCTAACCAGCTATTCACCATGCTGATGTGTATTTTAGTATCTGTTAATTCTTAGTTTGGTTTCACGTATGTGAATAAGGGTGAAAACACTGTGAGTGAGAAATATGTTATTCCCAGAAGTGGCCTTTTCATAAATGCTAACGCAAGGTCCTTCAGTCCGTCACTGATGGACACTCGTTTTGCTGCTGAGTGACGACGAATGGGAAACTTCCAAAAAAAATCACCCTTATCGTCACTAACCAGTTTAGTACTGGCGGACTTTCTCAGTCCGTCAATGACGGATTCCCGTTTTGCTGACCACTGATAGAAACACATGCTGCTTGTCTTGCGTGGATTTGGTTGCAGGGCTAATTACTACATCGGTGTTGCTCGGAGTGGAGGGGAGGAGGGACTCCTCATCCTTTGACAGGAAAAAAAAAAGCTTTGAACATTGCTAAGTCAATCTGGTGACTCACCAGTCATTGTGTTAGATACCATTCTCCAAACCCGCTCCTTGTTTTGGTCGTCCTGGTGTTACGATTCAACTGGGTTCCAAATTCACTGTCTCCCGATTCCAGCTGTGGCTATTAGGCCAAGGTCAGGCAAGTAAATTTGTGATTCCTGTCTGCAGATATTTTTTCTGTCAGAGGATAAGGAGCACCTCCTCCGCTCTCAGCCGAGCAACTCCAGCATAGTAGGTTATAAAGATATACAACAGCACCTGATTGATTTTATTCAGTCATTTTTAATTGAAAGAGAGCAAAAACACAGAGCAAACAGCACAAACAGAAATGATTTAGAATTGGTCAAACAATGTTGCGTAAAGTATCCGTAATTCTCCCACTACTACAGTCAGGGTTCTGTTAGGTTAGGGGTCTAGAGATTTTTTATGATGAGAAAATTATTTGCTATAGGCACCTTAATAAACACAGCAACTGGAACAAATGGGTAAAAGGTTGATGTTTCTCATGTGTTTTATGCAGCTCAAACAGCCGGGGAGGGGGAGGGTGGGTCAAATTGACTCCAAAGAGCATGGTTGCACAGGACATTGAAAATATATCACCCAGTTCTCCTCATTAAATTAAGAAAATTCATGAAAGATAAAGCAAAAAAATATGACAAATTTAGAAATGTAGAGACAATACACACTTAATGAGGTCAAATGACCCCTTTAGATATTAGGAGGTTGCCGTTCATTAAATAAGAGGTGAATATCGGACCTCTTTTCCACTGAACAAAATGCATAAGCCACATCCCCCCTCTTCTCTTTTTGCTTTTCTGCACCCCCGCTCCCTTCTGTACTTCTCCTCCCTCCCTCTTGAGCCAACGCCATGTTTTCCCCTCTGCCCGCTGTGGCTCTGAAATGAAACCAGGCTGCACCAACCTGGCGCTGGCAAGGTACCCACACCTGCTGTTGCCGTAGCACTCAGGTTGACACATAATAACAAAGCAAGAGGCATGTTCAAGCGCTCTACACTTATTACATAACTGTCGGTATTTTTTTTGGGGGGGGGGGCACATCCCTGGTTTGCAAGACACTTAGAAAACACTCGACGAAAACACAAAACACACGCAGTTTGCAGAAAGCCTCGAAAATCCAAGAGAATTATCCAAAGCTGAAGGCACATTTATCAGTATTTGATTCTAGACCGTTCTGAATGTTATTCATTTATTTCTGGTGACAGCTCACTGGACAAGACACCAACAAGGAGGATCTTAGTCAGCACAGGCAACACAGATTGTACACACTGCTTGAGAGGTAAAGTACGCTGGTATTGTGCCATGTGATAGTCCGAATAAATAGGAAGAATAACCTCTAAACACACCATTAAATTTTGTTGGGGTGTCGGGAAAATGTAGGAAAAAAGAATGGATGTAGCAGTAAAAGAGAAATGCTGTGCGATATAACAGTCATTGCATGATAGGTGCCGGAGTGACCACATGCCAACGGAAGCTTGGAATATTTAGCAGCCAATAAACCATGTTAGGTAACTTGAGTGGGTGCTCAAAGTGCACCCACGCAATCTCACTATGTTATGATTACTCACAGTCAACAAAGAAAAATAACGATGAATCAATCTCTGAATGTTGGGCTTGAGATCAAAGCTGAGGTGTCACCTATGGGATGTACAGGTACCGAGTGTGCTTATCTACTCTCTATTTAATGATGAGAGTAGAAATCCTTCGCTGCCACCTGTGGTTTTGTAACTCGCAAAGCGAGTGAGTGGGATTCATTTGCACTGTCATCTGATTTGGGTATGCATATGGTGCTTCATGCCATCAGATAAAATACACATTCGAAGCTACAATGTAGCTACGTAGTTGGTTCCAGCATGCTATTTTAAAACAATCATTCCCATAAGAAACAATGGATGGAAAAAGAAAAGTACAAGTAATGCTTGTTTTAACTTTACAGTTTATGTTTTAAACATAATTTCAATAGCTTTTAATTGTCAATAAATAATGAAGCTACATAAATCATCAACAAGAGAGAGGATTACTGCTTAATCAGCTGACTTTGAGATGTGGATTGCTTTCTTTTGCTTCTTGTCATGAGAGCAGTCATCATGAAACAGCGGGGAATCTGAACCCGGTGGGACAGTGTCCAGAGAAGATCCCTCAGTTGGGAGGACATCTGTAATATGGCAGGGCATCGGCTTAAGTTCCACCGAGGCTTTGTCTGTAAGATAAGAAAAGCAAACCTCCAAGGATGGAGAGTGACCTCGGATCCCTACGATATGCAGCACAAAACACCAGTAAACCCGAAACACATGGGGCCCTATTTTCGTGCCCGGCGCAATTCTAGTGTGGTCTAACTGTGTACGTGGGTGCAGTTTTCTTTCCTTTGGAATTTTTATTGAGGTGTGTTAGAAACGGGTGTTTGTGTCATCGTGGGTATGAACACAGTTGATTTTCTTCTCAGCCAATTGAAGTGGCTCCTCTCATTTTCTTTAAAAAGGGGTCTACATGCAGCGCAAAATCTGTCTGCCTCTACTGCCTCCTCACTTTAAAAAAATTTTGCAATGTCACCACCTGCACCAAAATTTAGACCTGCTTTCAGCAGCCATACAATTTA